ATAACACCTTTAAATTGTTGACCATGTCATTTACGGACTTAGACCTGAACTGCCTGAATCCTTTTGTGAAGTAACTTTCCTTCCGTTAAATTCTGCTAATTTCATATTTATTTGAATTAACTCTTTTATTAAACTTTAATTATATTTTGTACTTCTATAGCCATGTGAATAAGCAGTATTTAGAAATATATATTGTTAAATGATGCAATAATTTATTGATGTATATTATTGAAATACTCTAGAATTTCACAATTTTAATGTGTTGATTATTTTTATGTCACATTGACAGGTTTTAGACTAATAAAAACATTTTTATTTTTAAAAATTAAACAATATTATTTTAAAAGTAGTTCTTATCTCAGAAAATACCAAGTTCCCACTGAATGGTAAATCCATACAGTACCAAGAGGGAGATGTAAAGATAGGGGATGCAGATATATTAGATCTTGACCTGAATTGTTATGATTCAAAAATATTTTTTAAGATGTATTTTTATTAAAAAGGAACAGTTCTGGGGGTGCCTGGGTGGCTCAGCTGGTTAATCGTCTGACTTTGGCTCAGGTCATGATCTCAAAGTTCATGAGTTCAAGCCCCCCATTGGGCTCTGTGCTGACAGCTCAGAGCCTGGAGCCTGCTCTGGATTCTGTGTCTCTTTCTCTCTGCCCCTCCCCTGCTCGTGCTCTGTCTCTCTGTCTCTCTCTCTCTCAAGAATAAATAAACATTTTTTAAAAAAATTTTAAAGGATCAATTCTGGAGATATGCGAACTTCTTAGAAAGCCTTCTGGTACGATTTTATAACATTTTATAATTTAGTATAATACTTGCATTTCCTAACCAAGACAACCTGAGAAGCAGAATTTTGTCCCCTTCATGAATATTTTGCTCTCCTGGCCTGTCTTTAATGTCTTAGAGCACATGCTGAAGTGCATGGCATCACACTCTTGGTCAGCAACCAAGAGCCTTGCACTATTCTGGAAACCACCGTAGCAATGTCTGCTTAAGGAGGTTGTCTACATTTCTAAATTTCTAAATGTAAATTTTACAGAAGAGCAAACACAGTGTTCACACTACATCATCTGTCAGATTGCCTAAGGCACAGAAGTTGGAGCATCCCCAGTGCTGGCTGCATTTTGCTAAGCTATCCATTAATTTGTTTTGTTGATTTTTGCTATGAGAGGACAAAAAAGATGGAACTCAGGATGTCTGTTCTAATATTCTTTTATATTTGTAAGTAAAATATTTGGGGATGACCCTTGAGCAGAATAGTAAATGCTTGTATGATACTGTTTTGTACAACTAGATATTACACATGATATAGCTTACATAGCAGCGTATAACTTTTAAGTTCACCTGTCAGAAATTGCATGAATTCTTGGACAACACATAATCTTCATTGCTTTTAGATTCTACTTAATTTGGGTAAGATCCTTTGTTTACTTAAAATTAATAGCACTTGAAAATAATCTTTTTCAAACGTAACTTCAATTTGCTACGTTAGGATAAAAATCAAGTTAAATATTATTTGAGTCACTTAACAAATCATTTAAAACTTCAAGAATTTAACTTTATTTGAGAATATGCTTGAAGGTACTTTAAACATAATATGTGAGTCATTGTTCTAATAAAAGCATTTTTACTCTTCTCCCCAAGGTATTGATCCTCTGAAACTGTGAGATATTGGTGTCTAATTTCTCTTTCTTGGAAGAGGAAATGAGTATTTTCAGATACATAGATATATAAGTAGATATAAAAAAACATACATAGTATATGTATATTTGTGTATGTGCATGTATATGAAGTAAATCTTTTTTCAGTTATTTTGCTTAAAATCACTTATTTTACCGATTTTAATTTTGCATGTTAATTTTTTTTTATTTTCTCAATGTTTATTTATTTTTTTGAGAGAAAGAGACAGAGAGAAACAGAGCATGAGTGGGGAAGGGGCAGGGAGACACAGAATCCAAAGCAGGCTCCAGGCTCCCAGCACAGAGCCCGATGTGGGGCTCGAACTCACAGACTGCAAGATCATGACCTGAGCCGAAGTCAGACGCTTAACTGACTGAGCCACCCAGGCGCCCCAATTTTGCATGTTAATGTTAATGAGATAATTACAAATAGAAAAATAAACATCAAAAAAAGATGCCTTAAAATGAACTTTTCAGCAGTGTGACAGAACTGTAAAATCATTGGGATAGAGAATAAAAAGGCTCCTCTGGACACCCTACACAGCAACCCTGAGAAATGGGTTTGTTATTTTATGAGGCTGAGTCTAGGTCACTACAGATTTTAGAACATGACAAATAACCAGGCTTTCCTCACAGTTTTATTTCACAGACATTAGTTTCCATGGCATGGGTACAATTTTTGGTCTTGAATTGATGCTTTTAATTATTTTGTTGCTATCATGTCCTCATCAGCATCAAAGGTAGCATCTTCAAAATTGGAGGACTAAAAATTTAAAAATACATGAAATATATCTGTACGTTTTTCTCCACCTCAGACACTAGCTGGTGATTGCTAGTGCTTCTAGGATGGCGTTGCGAGTCATGGATGGAATTAAATCTTTTCAGCAACATCCTGCATTTGCGACTAAAGCATGTGTGATTAAAAAAACAAGCACTGAACATTGATCAAGCAAGTCAAAGCTGGTACCCTTCTCAAAGACAAGGGAAATACCCAGTTCCTGTCCATTCTAGCCATCCCTTCCCACCTAAGGCGGGAAGGACTGAGACCCACTTGTGAAGTCCACCTGTTAAGTCCAAAACTGAGACCTTAAAAAAAAAAAACAACAACTGAGACCTTACCCTAGAACTAGCGAATGCTTGCCCCGCCCCCCCACACCTCACCACCAGGCCAGCCACGGCCTACCTTTTTTTACCCAACACACATGTCTGGCTATGAAGACAAAATTATAAGAACGGAGAAAAAATAGAACCATATAAAATGCACAATTAAAATAATAAAATGCAGAAAAAGAGTACAAGACAAAAATAGGAAAAAAGAACAAGGGCAACAAAGAGAAAACAGCAGCAAATATGGTAGATGGTACAACTACATCAGTGATCACTTTAAACGTCAACAGTCTAAATGCACCAATTTTATTTCATTTATTTATTTATTTACTTACTTACTTATTTATTTGAAAAAGAGCAAGCACATGCAAGCAGGGGGAAAGGGGCAGAGAGAGAGAGACTCTCCAGCAGGCATCACGCTCAGCATGGAACCTGATGTGGGGCTCAATCCCATGACCCCGGGATCATGACCTGAGCCAAAATCAAGAGTCACATGCTCAACCAACTGAGCCACCCAGGCGCCCCTAAATGCACCAATTAAAAGACAGAGATTGTCAGAGTGGATCCAAAAACAAGATCTAACAACATGTTTTCAAAAAGGAACCCACCTTAAATATAAAGACACACATAGATTAACAGTAAATGAGTATAGAAAAATATATCAGGCTAACATTAGTAAAAAATATAATTAAAAGTTTCGTTAAAATATACCGTGCTAACATTAATTTGAAAAGGGGAGGTAGATTTTAATTTCAGACAAAGAAGACTTCAAAAGGAAAGTTATCAGGAATAAAGAAGGTCATTACATATTGTAAATTGGTCAATCCTACAAGAAGACATAAAGATCTTTAATGTGGGTGCACCTAACAACAGAGGCAAAAGTTGATAGAACTACAAAGAGAAATAGATGCATCGACTATCATAGTTGGAGTCTTCAATATCCCTCCATCACAAATGGACAGATCCAGCAGGCAGAAATTCAGTAAGGACAGAGTTAAACTCAACAGCACCATCAGTCGACTAGATATAATAGACATCTACAGACAGTATCATCAAACAGCAGAACACATTCTTCCCTGCTCTCACAGGACATTCACCAAAGGACACCACATTCAGGGCCACCAAACATACCTGAACAAATTTAAAAGAATAGAAATTGTACAATATCTGCTTTCAGATCACAGTGGAGTTAAACTAAAAATCAAAAAATCGATCAATCAATCAATAAACTAAAAATCAATAATGGCAAGATAGCTGGAGAATCCTAAGATGTATGGAGTTAAACGACACACTTCTAATCGATACATGGGTCAAATAAGGAACCTCGAGGGAAATTTTTCAATATTTGAACTAAGTGAAAATGAGAACAAACCTGTCAGACCTTTTGTGTTAGAAGAAGTAACAACATGCAGCATGCTGAGAAGCAAATTAAAAAATTTACCTCATACAACAGTATTATTGCCATGTGTCTGCAGAGCAATTGGGAGAATAGACATTTCCCATTTCTGTGGACTGTGGAGAAAAATAAAAGGTGCACAAGTTGTAGCAGAAGACCTTGTGCTCCATAAAAAGTTTGGAGCTAGAGTAAGTAAGTGTGTTTAATGTTTACTAATTGCCAAATGAATAAGGAATTGCTAACTTGGGTGCATGAATCGTGGGTGGGCCTTAATGAGAGAATGTGGTGAGGTAGCAGTGGGTACATGAAGTTATGAACGCCAGGTGCATTTTTCAGGGAAGCGAGTCCATTGCTTATATTTAAGGACCTCAAATTTTCAAGACACTTTTTCTACCAGTTGACGGGTGCCATTTGCATCGTCACTATGGTCTTACCAGGAACTTGCACCATGGTTGAGAGTTAAGAGAGGGGTGAGTTATTAAATCCAATCAGTGTTTAACAAAAATTTACTGAGAATCTTCTATATGCCACGCCAGCTATTGTTGGCAGAAGATACAATTTTCATAAGAAGACAGAGTCCTTGCTTTCATGGAGTTATGAAATTCAGCAAAGATCAAAACTGAGGGCGGAAGAGAAGCCATCTTTTGTTTTGTTTTTTTTCATTCTGTATTGTTTTTGGCTACAGTTCTTTGGAAATGAGTACAAATGTTCAGTGGAGATTAGTTTAAGAGAGTAATAACGGATTATTCTGTTTCAGCACTCTGGTATACAGCCTCCATTATACACTAAGTGAAAAATATTTTTCTTTCAAGGTAACTGAACTGCACAACATCAAAAATATAACCAGACTGCCTCGAGAGACAAAGAAGCATGCAGTAGCAATTATCTTTCATGATGAAACGTCAAAGACATTTGCCTGTGAGTCAGGTAAGCAATTGCAGCCTCTGTCTACAGTTTGTGGAAATTGAACTGCGTCCGAGACAATGGCCCAGATGGATGAAGTTACACCACTGACTAGGAAGGCGTTTTGTGGTAAGACTGGGCTGTAGAAGACTTTAGGAGGAAGCTCAACATATTGATTTCTACAGATGTTTTGGGTGCTTGTTTGTCATCTGTCTGTGTCTGGATTTTGCTCCCAGGTGGTCAGAGGACTCTGGAGGTTTCCATGCGAGCTTGAAGAATTAAGTAAACGGTGCCTGGGAGCTGTTGTCAGGGCAAGCTTGCGACTCGTACTCTGGTCCTTGCCGGGTGCGGCTGTATGCACTCGGTGGGAAAATAATTGCGCTGCCACGAAAGTGTGGCAGAGCACAGCCGAAGTCCCCAGACATTCTAGAACAGAACTTTGAGCAATTGGTTGCTTTCATGGCTTCTCAGTACTACAGGGGAATACATTTCAGATTGAATTTTGGCATCCCAGCTCATAAAGCACTCTGACATCATTGAGACACAAGGCAGTTTATAGTTCGAACTTGCAGTATTTTTCATTTTGAAATCCCTGCGCTAAGTAACGTATTAGTTGGCTTATTACAGCTTTTTAAAGATTTTGCTCAGTGGAGGAGTGCATTCCTTTTACAGTGGATGGAAGCAAAAGACAGTAAGGGTTCAAAAGATGTGAATTTAAAGTAATAGGTCTTTAGTAGAAGCCTTACTATTTTTTGAAAAGGAAATAAAGCTTCTGGAGTTATGAAGTTTCTAGGTGTCATTCATACCAGGTTCTCTTATCCTTTATTCGCCTTGTCCGAATAAAATGGTTCACACCTCCTCACCTACGCTTCTCTCAGTTTTGCTAAAGTGAATTGGGACTTATCAAAGTGTTTCTCTCTCCTTGGATGCTTTTAATCCCTTTTGCCATCCTTCTCTCCACCCGTCATCTGGACTCATTTCATCATTTAAAATTGACTTTTGGCATCGCATAGAAGTCTGGTAACTGGTGATATCAATTCCATTTTATAACGGAACCTGTCCCAACCTTGCCGTTATTCACATCTAAAAGTGCGTGTGCCTTCATGTTTCCTGTCTAACCGGTTCACTTTTCTCTGAGCTCTTAGCTCTTGTCTCCTATTGAAACTAACAACCAGAAAATTGGTTTTCCAGAAAAGATAAAAGATAATTTTCACTATTGTTTGTATGTTTGTGCTGCTTTACATTTTTGAAATTATACTGGGCCATGTTGTGTGTATGCTTAGGCAACGCTGAAGTCTGTTATTTCAGTGAAGAATGATATCGAATTATGTTTCTGAAATTCGGACTCAAGAGTCATAACCCACAAGTCTGACACTGGAAGCTTTTTAAGATTATTTTTATTTGTGTTTTCTTTGTGGCAGTGGTGGTTTCATGGCTCATGTAAGAGTTTTGACAGATGCAGGGTCCTTCGTTAGAACGAAATGGCCTTAATATCCAGGAGAGGAATTTGCAGACATCGAGGCTGAAGATAGATCCAAGTGTAAAACTAAAAGAATGGTTTTATTTGGATTCCTAGCACGGAGTTTTCAACTAGTTTAAATTATGACTTATTTGAATTATTTGTTTTTTAAATCACTTTTTTGTATGTAGATAGAGCGGTCTGCTTGACAGCTTTCACTTGCTGGTAGTGAAAGTATTTAAGAAACTTTGGCACAAGCTTCTTAAATTTTCTTAACTTCATGGCACATGACAGTGGAAAACAAAGAAACTGCTTGAAACACATAAACAGGGAATTTGAGTATCTTTTCTAGCAGATTTTATTTTTTAGATCAATGTTAATTAAGATCAGTAGTCCACGTCTGTTGATAAAATGGCAAAATTATTTGGGGGAAAAAAAGAGCCCAACGGTAAAGCAGTCACAGATGTGAAAATCAAAATAGCAATATGGTTGAAGCCAAAATGAAAAGGAGCTCTCAGATTTATTTCTAATGCGAATGCATGTAAAAGTATATTCTCATGATGGCTACTGAGAATGTGAATTGCCTCAATTTTTTCTTTTGAGAAAACCAACAACTGCTATTAAATAATATGCATACCCTTGACTCAGTGAGCCTCTTTGGGAACATATCCTGTATGAATATATGCACCAGTACGTGAGGTCGTAGGTTTAAGCAAGTTATGTGTAATTACAACAAAATCAGAAACAAATGAATGGCTATCAAGAAATACTTGAACGAATTGCGGTATATCCTCATCACAAGATATTATGCAATCACTAGGAAGAATTCTGAGTAAGCCAATTAACTTGAAGACACTTGTATGAATTTTAGTACCTCAAGCAAAACACGTCATCAGAGAAGTGCGTACTGAATAATGGCATTTGTAAAAGAAACAATGAGAGAGATAGTGTGTGTTTTAACACGTGTTATCTGGGGTGAGAGGAGATAGTAATGAAGTGGTTGGAAAAGGAAGATGGGGAAAAATGCAAGCAAAAAAGGGAAAAGAAGAAAATACCCAGCATAGAACTATCCCATTTATATGAAATGAACATGTGAAGGTGTGAATGCATGCATCCAGTGTTTAAAGTAAGTTAGTCACTAGGGAAATGCAAATTAAAACTACAGTGAGAAAAAAACAAAAACCATAAAACCACAATAAGCTGTCACTATGCCCCTGTCAGAATGGCTAAAAGTTTTTTTTTTTTTTTTAAAGTAACACCACCAAATGTTTGTGAGGATGCAGAGAAACTAGATCCCTCATCCATTGTTGGCAGGATTATAAAACGGTAAAGCCACTTTGGAAAATGGTGAGCAGCTTCTTATAAAATTAACCATGTAATGATTCCACAATGCAGCAATTGCCTTCTTGGACATTTATCTCGGGAAAAAAATGGAAATTTATGTTCATGCACATACATATACACATACAAAAAAATATTCATAATAGCATTGCTCACAATAGCCAAAAGCCGGAAAGAAGCCAGAGGTCTTTTAACAAACTGTGGTGCATTCACACCATGAAACACCCCTCAGCGACAAAAAGGAACACACTATTGATAAATGCAGCAACCTGGATGAGTCTTGAGTGAATTATGCCAACCAAGCGAAAGAACGTCAATCCAAAAAGATTACATATTTTGTGAATCCATTTGTGTAACATCTGTGAAATGACAAATTTTAGAAATGGAGAACAGAGTCCTTGTCAGAGGTTAAGAATGGGATCGGAGGTGTGGGGGCCCAAGGGGATGAAAGGTCGTAAAAGTAACATGAACTTGCATTGGCACTGAGCAGTTATCCTGATTATAATGGTGCATAAACACACCCACACAGGTGGCAAATTATGTACAGAACTTACACACACACAAGTAAGTACAAGTAGAACTGGGGAAATCTGAATAAGATCAGTGCACAATCAATGTCATTATCTTGGCTGCGATATTATACTATAATTTTGCAAAATATTACCATTGGGGGAAAGTGGGCAAAGTTTACACAGAATCTCTCTATAATATTTTTATTACTACTGTACTTATCTCAAAAATCTTTGCAGTAGAAAATATCTCTATACTATCTCTAAGGTCATCTGTGATATATTTTTAAGTTAATGACAGGCTAGGGGGGACTTGGAGGGGAAAAAAATGTTTGGTATATTCTAATACGGTAAAAAGTAACTGACAACAGTAATGACAAACAACAAAAATAATCCTAAATGTGTGCCTATGTAGCTTCTGTATGTTTTGTGAACACAAAGAAACATGGACAAGGGGACACATGTGTGTGTTGTTCCTTCTAACAGGGACTCCTTGCGTGAGCCCCTCCCCAGCCTACGATGCCCCCTGCGCACCGTTTCTCCTGGACGTTTCCACGTGTGCTTTCATTTTGGCACTGGTGTCTCATGCCCTTCACATCAGTGCCTATGCTCTCCACATCCACAGCACCCTGACCTTGGCCTTCACTTACCCTGTTCACAATCTCTCCATCATATTTAAGCTCAATGAGGACATGACCATGTTTTCCTTCTCACCTTAGACTCACCAGCATCACGGTGCTAATGCAAATGTGTTGCATTAATGAAGTAATAAATGAGCAAAATTTGTATGTAAGTTTTGTGATAACGATATATTTATCATTCAGCTTTTCCCAAGAGATATTTCTTTTTTCAAAACAACTTTTTGAAACTAATTTGGCAGCCCCATGGGGAAAATTGTTTAAGTTGCCAGATGACAGATCGTTGTGTGTTTGTGATAGCATGAGAGGGAGTAAGTGATCGTTGTGCTGTGTGTGTGTGTTTGTGTGTGTGAATTGCCATGGCCCACCAGACCTGCTGCGATAACTCTATGAGTAGAATGTTGTGGAACACAAATAAGAATCTGGAGCTTGCCTATTACTTGAAGAGACCCCTTGATCCTTGTTTTTTTTTTGGACATGTTCACTCTCAAGTCAATGCCTACTAAATGAAGGAGCAGATGGCTTAGATGTTGGAAACCCAGTATCTGGCTAAGAGATTCTGCTTATCGTCATTAAGGAAAAGAGAAAGAAGGGAAAAGAGCTCAACTATGCCAGTATAGGAATACCTAAGGGATATTGCGGGTTTGGTCCCAGACCACCACAATAAAGTGAATGTTGCAATAAAGTGAGTCAAATGAATTTTTTAGTTTCCCAGGGCATGTAAAAGCTATGTTTATACTAAAACTGTAGTCTATTAAGCGCGCAATAGCATTATGACTAAAAAAATGCACATACCTTCAACATACTCAAATAAAATGCAACCTTTCACAGTAAAAAAAAATTGCACATACCTTAATTTAAAAAGACTTCTTTGCCAAAAAATGCTGACCGTCATCTGAGCTTTCAGCAAGTACAGTAATCTTTTTGCTGAGGGAGCGTCTAGCCTCAGTGTTGACGGATCAGGGTGGTAGTTGATGAAGGTTGGGGTGACTGTGGCAGTTTCTTAAGATAAGACAGTGAAGTTTGCCACATCGGCTGACTCTTCCTTTCATGAACAATTTCTCTGTAGCAAGCAAT